TTTGTAGAATGTCTCATCCATCAGGCTACAGAGAGACAGGACAGAAAAACAGTTCTCTGTAAATTAAGAGGAAGCTCACTAGTTTTCACCTCTTGCTCCTAGTGAGTACCAGATTTCTCACTGTTTGTGACATATAATCTGTCTTCCTTGTATCATCATAGCCACAGAGTGTGCTAAAAATGCTCAATCAGTTACTATGGTTCCCAGTCCTATTTGCTTCTATCTTGCTATCTATCCATCTCTTCAGATTCCTGGAGGCTTTTATTTGCAAAGCCTTTGGGACTAAAAGTCCATCAAACAGGTGAGCAGGGGCTCTTCCTGCTATAAAATGGTCTCAGATGTTAATTGGTCTTTGCCTGGATTTTTTTTTTTTTGTGGGTCATGGAGCTTGAACTCTGGGCTTAGGCATTGTCCCTCAGTTCTTCAGCTCAAAGAAAGCACTCTACTGCTTGGGCCACAGTGCCGCTTCCGATTTTCCAGTGGTTTATTGGAGATAAGAGTCTCATGGACTTTCCAGCCTGGCTTTGAACCGTGGTGCTCAGATCTCAGCCTCCTGAGTAGCTACGATTATAGACATGAGCTACCAGCACCCAGCTTGCCTGGATTTTTTTTTTAAATAATAAATGCTTGCTCTGGGATGGTCTCTTACCTACTATGGAGTGAGATTCCCTCATCATGGAATAACATCTCTATGAAAACTTCCTCCTTTATTTGTCCTTGTGTCTATTTTCTGCTCAGATTAAGAATAGAAAGTCATCAGCCTGGTCTGAATGAATGAACTCCTAGCCAGGATTGAAATATGAGGTGAGTAAGGAAGGCCATGATAAAGATGAGTTGATTTTCCCACCAGGTGGAGAGCTTGGGTATTCTTATGTTCATTTTTTTTTCCTCCTTCAGGCAGATTTGTCACGTGATAGTTTTATACTACATAGATTTCATCAGACCTAGATTCCAGAACAAGGTCTTTAAGTGGCTTGGCATCTCTGCTCTCCACATCTGGTCCCTTGGTAATCACAACAATTGTATGTGACCATCTAAATCCACCCGTAGCAGCTGTGATGCATCCCGAGCTTTGCTCAATCAGTGTTACAAGCAAGGTAGTTTGTGCAAGGGCAGTGTGAGTGTGTGTGTGTGTGTGTGTGTGTGTGTGTGTGTGTGCGTGTGCACATAATCTGTGCTTGCTACATGATAGGAAAAGTGCATACATTTCCACAGAATGTATTAGCATGGTGGAGGTAAATTTTGACTGGGCTTTATAATTTCCTGGATGAATTCTGTGTGACAATTTGCAGAAGGCTGTACTTCAGAGGTGTGTGTAGGAGGAGCACGCACACGTTGTTGCACTTAGTATGATTCATTCATCACTCCCACTCTCTACTTCCAACCTATCTTCAAGACAGCACCATTTTTCAGACACCTAAAATACTTACATTGTATACTATGCTTACTACAACGGATTAAACATATAATCAACTGTCAGTGGAAATATCTATCTGTAGATAAACACAATGTTCACTTTACATTTTCCCATATTTATATGTATGGCAATGCCACCAATTATATATTAGTACATGTCCAAGAGCATCAATAGCAAGAAACAAAAGAATTGTGTTTTTATATATGCTTCTAGATTTCAAATTCTTTGCTTAGGGTTGATTTCAACTCTCTAGCAAAATAAAGCAACTGTATACTGTTTATGCCTCCCTAGTAAACCACTCCATCTCAAAGGTAAATTATATTTATTAAAAGCTCACTTGGATGTTTAAGAAGCCAAACCTATGTGGAGCATGCCAATAATTGTGGCTACTTAGGAGGTAGAGATCAGAGGACTTCAGTTAAAGGCAAAGACCCCTTGTCATAGTTGGTCTGTGCTTGTGGAGCTGGGGGCTCACACCTGTAATCCTAGCTACTCAGGAGGCTGAGATCTGAGGATTGAGGTTCAAAACTAGCCTGGGCAGGAAAGGCCGTGAGACTCTTATCTCTAATAAACCACTAGAAAACCAGAAGTGGCCCTGTGCTCTAGCAGTAGAGCGCTTGCCTTGAGCTGAAGAGCACAGGGATAGCGCCCAAGCCCAGAGTTTAAGCCCCACAACCAAAACAAAACAAAACAAAACAACAACGAAGTTTACCATTTCATTCCCATTGCAAAGCAGTGGAGCATGAGCTATGAGCTGTCAATCTTACTTTAGAGATAGTCAAAGGAAATCATGACTGTAATTCAGTGTTAAGTGAAAATATGTATACAAGAAACAATTTAGAACTGATATACTGAGCTGGAGGCATAGCTCAAGTGATAGAGTGCCAACCTAGCAAGCACAGGACCCTAAGTTCAACCTCTAAAACATCCAAGAAATAGAACTAATATATTTCTTAGTATCTAGAAACAAAAAAAAAACAACAAAATTCTTATCAACTGCATATTTGTCATCTGTGCATGACAATGGCTTGCCTTTTTTGTTGTCTAAGGCATGGAATTTGACTTGGTTCTCTCTGAACATGTGATCTGACACCCCTCCTCTCCTCTATCACTGTGGACTTGATGCATGGTATCCTTCCTTTCTATTGTTTTCATTCTCACTGTTAAGAGTTGTCTCAGTGACTGCTTGACACATCTCAAACCATACTATCTCCAGAGAACAGACTGGGCAATCTAACCTACTTTGGTACCCATCTAAAGAAAATTCAGAGGAAAGATAAACTCTCATTCTTCCAGGCTCTAATTCACCTCTCTGTGAAAGTTTGTACTGCTGGTCCTGAGTGACCATGCCCTATTTTCCTCCTCTGTGTTGTGTGTTCTGCTTCCGTTATCATTCCTATTCCTTTGAAGACATGTGATTATATATTTATATATGTTGACCTTGTTCCTCATCTGTCAAGAGAAGGCGTTCTTATTTCAGCATAGCAGCTACCAAACACAAGTCAGTAAGAATGGAATTAAAGGATGAAAATTGATAAATGATGAGAAGCATCTATCCTGCTCCTGGACTGATTTATGTAAATAGTTCTTTAATGTTAAATGATGTCTAAAGATCCTGTAAATATTATAACAATTTCAGTGATGTACAAACTAGACTCTGATCCATTTTTGCATTCCAATTTAACTGCTTTGGGCCTTGACTCTAAGCAAAGAGGACAAAGTGTTAAGATTTGGACATAGTTTTGTGAGGATTTAAATTTGTGTTGAACTTTTAATTCTTTGTTGTGCCAGACACCAAACTCAGGATTTGTGTATGCGTTATACACACTTTCACTGAGATACACATTGAGGCCTATTTCCATCTTGACTGAGAGACTGAACTTCTTGATTGATAACAGTGAAAATCAAACTTATCCCTCTGAAGGTAGTTAAAAATTATACCTGCAAGCATGCAGTCAAAAAATTAAATCCCCCAACAACAAATTCCCAAAGAAAAAACTGGCCAATAAATAAGTGGGCTAAAGACTTAAAGAGAAACTTCTCTGAAGAGGAAAGAAGGATGGCCAATAGACACATGAAGAAATATTCAGCCTCCCTAGCCATAAAAGAAATGTAAATCAACATGACATTGAGATACTACCTCACCCCAGTTAGAATGGCTACAATCAAGAACTTTAAAAACAACAGATGCTGGAGGGGATGTGGACAGAAGGGAACCTTACTGTATTGTTGGTGGGAGTGTAAACTTGTCCAACCACTTTGGAAAGCAGTATGGAGGTTCCTCAAAAAACTCCACATAGAGCTCCCCTATGACCCAGCAATCCCACTTTTGGGCATTTTCCCAAATGATCACAAACAAGACCATACTAAAACTACCAGCATACCTATGTTTACTGCAGCATTATTTACCATAGCTAAGCTATGGAAGCAACCTAGATGCCCCTCAGTAGATGAATGGATCAAGAAAATGTGGTCTTATATACATAATGGAATTCTATGCCTCTATCAGAAAGAATGACATTGTCTCATTTGTTAGGAAATGGAAAGACTTAGAAAAAATTATATTAAGTGAAGTAAGCCAGGCCCAAAGAAACATAGGTCCCATGGTTTCCCTTATTTTCAATAACTAGTATATGTCCGAGACAAGCAGAAACAGTCAGATAAATTGAAGTTAGATGAAATGAACCCCAAGATAAGGACTCAAATGTTTTTTCTTTCTTGAAATTGTTTCTAACACATTTATAAGATAATTTTTTGTTGCTTTGTATGTCCCTCCCCCACGGTATAACCCTGTTTTCACTGTATTTGATGTCGGTATAATTTGTGGAGGGGATGGGAAAAAACAAATTGTTTAAATAGGGATACAGGTGGACCCATTGCAACAATGAGATGTACAAGATGTTATGTCAAAAAATGAACTTTAAAACTGTGGCGGGGGGGAAGACGGGAAGGGATGGGAAGGGGAAACAAAGGAGGAGGCAACAATGCTTGTTAAGAAATGTACTCATTACCTTGCCCATGTAATTGTAAACCCTCTGTATGGTATTTTCACACACACAAAAAAATTACAATGCTACGTTCACTGGATCGTGTTAAAATGACATAGATGTAAAGCTCTTTTAGAATATCAAAATGAGTAACAACAAACTGATGTGGTCTCTCATGCCTATAATCCTACCAACGTAGGAGGCTAAGATGGGAGGATTTTAGTTTGAGGCCAGTCTAGGCCAGTCTCAACAGAAGAAGCTAGGCATGGCACACATCCGCCATACTAGCTAAAGCAGAAAGAATAAATAGGAAGATTGTGGTCCTGTCCAGACTTACATGCAAAAAAAATGTGGAATCCTTTGTCAAATAACAAGAGCAAAAATGCCTTGAGGTAGAATCCTTCAGGAGATAGAACCTTCCTAGCAAGCATAAATCCCTAAGTTCAAACTCCAGTACTGCAAAAACAAAGAAACAAAACAACAACAAAAAAAAAACACAAGAAGAAATCTACTAGAATCTCCTATTTCTGGGATAATGTCCTCTAGTTGGGTGCAGATAAAGTGAAAAGACTCTCAGGTTCCGTTTGGTGTCATACCTGTCCCGTGTATGCAAACTCCAGAGCCTGCTTTAAGCCAAGGCTGGTCACACCATGTAAGTTTACCTCGTCAGCTCCGCTCTCCACCATGCACAGACTGAACATGGCCTGGGGTGAGAAGAAAAAAGAGAGACTGGATTAGGAAATGGCAAAGGAAAAGGGCAAGACAACAACCCAGATAGACCAGGAAAGGAAAAGTTTACTCCCAAGGATTGCCTTCAGTTTCTGACATGCGTTGATAGAGCCTCTTTCACACAAACCACTGCAAAGTCACTTGGAGATGTAAGCAGTCCCAGCCAGACGCTCACCAGATCATATTTCTCTCATACAGAGTCTCCTTCAAAGCTGTTGTGCTCAGGGAACCCATTCCCTCTCCATCTTAGGTCCCACTGTTATCAAGTAATGTGCAGCCATCCTATCCATTCTGGGCAATTGGTCACACTTTCAGCTCCTGACTTCTTTACGTCTATTTCTTTGTTCTTTTTAGGCAGTACTGGGGTTTGAACTCAGGCTTTGTGTGCTTGGTAGCCAGATCGTTTTTTGCTTTAGTTGTTTTTCAGGCAGGCTCTTATTTCCCCATCCTGATCCTCTGGCTGGCTTGAGATGATAATTTTCCTACTTATGTCTTCTGTGTAGCTGGAATGACAGAGTGAATAATCACCCTTAGCTGTTTTTGTTCAGATAACAACAAAACTTTGAACTTTGATCTTTCCCTCTGCAGTAGCTGGTATTACAGGTGTTAGCCGCCATACCTAGCCAAGTTCTTTGCCATTATGATTGAACAATCCCACTTTTAGGTAAATATAGTATACCTTTTTTCCTTGTTTTGCTTTCTATAGTTTTATTTAAACAGTCAATGACAATTTGGCTATATTAAATGCAAAATTCTCCCCAAATAAACAATCTGTAACTTTTAAATTGTGTGCTGATGGTGAAATCTTCCACACTTCCACTCTGACTCGCCTATGACACGAATAATCTTTTCATCCAGTGTATCTATGCTGTGGATGCTACACATGCATTATTTAGTCAAAAGTCGTTCTGGTTACCATATAGACTCATGGCAGCACAGTCCTGGGTGCAGCTTAACACCACATCACAATGGCCACAGTAAGGGGAACTCAGCCCATTGAATCGTGTAGTGTGCCACACTCACAGAAGCTGACTAGACTAAGAAATGTGGAGAGAGACAATATTCTCCTTACTTCCATTATAGAATATTGTTATGCATGTTCTGTTTCACTAGTAGTTATTGATGTCTAGGTCCTACATCTAATTAACAAATTATGCTATAATAAAAGTGTACACGAGAAAAGCAGACTTTAAGCATCTTTTAGAGGTCTTAAAACACACTCCCCACAGATAAGGGGGGGACTAACTTACACAGGAATGAAATGAAATATGAAGTGAAATAGGGAATCCTAAAAGGATCTACACAAAAGCAATCCCTGCATGTTCATAACAATTGAAATATGAACACCACATAATTATGCATCAGATACATCAGATGGATAAACTGAGCATGAAGACTTGCCTTCTACAAGCAGAAAAGGTAAAAGCTATATACATATGACCATATAAGATGATAAGTAAGATGAACTCCAAGATAGGGAAACAAGGGGTTTTTCTCTTTCTTGCTATTGTTTTTACTATGTGATTTTTTTTTTTGTTTCGTATGTTCTTCCCCCAGGGTATAACCCCCGTTTTCACTATTTGATTCCGGTGCTCTGCATCTTGTACATGCATTTTTATAATTTGGGGAGGGGAAAGGAAGTAAAATGCTGAAATAAGGATACAGGTTGGCCCATTATAACGAGATGTATAAGACACTATGTTGAAAACAAACTTTACAACTTCGGGGGGTGGAGGAGGAGTTGGGCAGGCAGGGAGGGAAGGGATGGTAGGGAAAAACAGAGGAGGAGGTAACAATGCTCAATGAGAAATGTACTCATTACCTTACTCATGTAACTGTAACCCCTCTGTACAGTATTTTTACAATAACACACACACACACACACACACACACACACACACACACACACACACACACACACACACACACACACACATATATAAAGGGGCTGGGAAGGTGGATCTGTGGTAGAGTGCTTGCCTTGCATGCATGAGGCCTGGGTTCAATTCCTCAGCACCACATAAACAGAAAAAGCGACAAGTGGCATTGTGGCTCAAGTGGTGGAGCACTATCCTTGAACTAAAGAGCTGAAGGAGAGTTCCCAGGCCCAGAGTTCAGGGCCCATGACTGACAAAAAAAAGTCTTGCCTTCTGCCACATTCTTCTGAATTGATAGTGTGACCCCCCCCCCCCCGCCCTCCTGAAACCATCATCACCACTCACTTCTACAAACCCATATTTAAAGTTATAAATTCAATGATTATCCTATTTTGAAATGAATCCCGGTCAGTGTGTTCAGGTTCATCAATTTGCAAAGCATCTTTTTTTAAATAAGTTTTTTATTGTGAAAATACTGTACAGAGGGGTTACAATTACATGAGCAAGGTAATGAGTACATTTCTTATCAAGCATTGTTGCCTCCTCTTTGTTTTCCCCCCCACGCTCCCTTCCCTCCCACATAGCTTTTGACCTTTTCTGCTTGTTCTAGACATATACTAGTTATTGCAAATAAGAAAAACCATGGGATCTATGTTTCTTTGGGCTTGGCTTCACTTAATATTTTTTCCAAGTCTTTTCATTTCCTAACTAATGGGGTGATGTCATTCTTTCTGATGGAGGCATAGAATTCCATTATATATATATATATATATATATATATATATAATATTTGCTTGATCTTTCATCTACTGAGGGGCATCTGGGTTGGTTCCATATCTTAGCTATGGTAAATAACGCTTACATGCCCAATCTTCTATAATCAGTGATGTTTACAATGGCTACAAGTTGTTACAGAAATTTGAATGAACTTCTGAAACAACAACGATTGCATTCTGTTTAATAGTAATGGTGGCTGTATTTCATTGTATTTTTGTTATAGCTCACATTTATAATGGGTAGTAAATCTCAGATAATGAGACTGCTCAGCCAACTGCAATAGGCCCTTTCCTATCTATCAATGAGAAAAGGGTCCTCACTTCAGTTGACATGGACTCTTTGCCTCTTTTACCTCACAAATATAAAAGTAACCCACACCATCTAGAGAGCTTAATGGCCTCAATAAGTAACAATACTTGGTGAATGGTTTTTTATTCTGCTATATATTTATAATGTTTTTCCCCCCTCCAACATTATAGTCTTACTCTCAGGGAATAAAACACCTCAAGACAAACTAAAATAATAAAATCGTATTACTACAAATATAATCAGAGAACAAAAAATTAACATCACTGATTATCAATTCTCTCACATTATCTACTTAAAGAAAAATTCACCTTCTATTTTAAAATTATGCTGCATATTGGTTTTCCTACCATCTCCAAACACGAAGTTTGCTAATTCAAGGGACCGGGTTTTACAGCTTTGCTCTGGGCTCAGTGGCACTTTTACTGTGTAGTGGATAATGAGCCTTCAAAACAAGCACCCTTATAGTTTCTCCTCTGTCTCTTTCTAGTTCCCAGGATGAAGTCACATGTTATCTATCTGGGTCTTCTGAGGGAGAAAGGAACAAAATAGTAAAAGGATACAAGTCAAGTTGTTTTTTCCTAGCTAAAGTGAGGGTAAGTGAGGAGGCCAAATCTGCTGCCCACAACAAAGTCAGGGGACCCTCAAAAGGTGTTTTTGTCTGACTGGAAATGTAGTTCAGCTTAGTTGCAGGAAGTTTGTCTAGCAGGAACAAAGGTCTGAGTTTGATCCCCAGTACACACTTGCACACACACACAGGCCTGCACACACGTGCATCTGTTCACGAGTTGTCACCTATTCTGGAGGATGAAACAGTCTGTGTGTTCCTGTCACCTTCTGCTCTGTGATCCCTGAGTTCAGCATGGGCATCCAACACACTCCTGTTCATTATTTTATCTGTTATAAAGTGTCCTCTTCCCAGATATCTAGGGATGGTCCTCTTACTCCTCTGATCGAATATATTTGATAGACTGTGAATGAAAATAATCTTTCCTGTGGAGATATTTTAGTTTCATGTGGCTGCCAATGTTATAATCCTGCTTTTTAATGACTTCCAAGTACATCCTGACTGAGATGAAGCCTTGATTTACTGCATTTGGGAGGCTGTGCTAAGACAGAACTTGGGGTTTGTATGGAGTGACTAAGCGGATGTGATCAGGAGTCTGCTTGAAGCAGGCAGGGTAGGTACAAGGAAAGAACATTTCAGAAAAGGTTGGAAAACAGGGGGAGAAAAGAATAAAAGTAGAGCAACAGAGGAAGCTGAATAGGGATACTGTACTAATGTAAATATGACAGGAGAACCTGTAAACATGGCTTATGGAGCTACCCTGGGCATATTGAAGAATCAGGAAACTAATTACTCTCCTAGACCTGGAATTTGAGGATTTTAACTAGTAGAAGTCACCAGGCCTTTGCTCCTCCAGAGGCCGTTCCTGAATCAGCAACATCGCATCATTCTTTAATGCAGAATTGGTGGATCCCACACCACAGCGACCTAGATGGGGAGCTGTGTGTTAGGGAGGAGTCTCAGGCAGACCACGTGCATATAAATGTTTGAGAGGCATGGCTGTAGCCAATCCCCAAATCTCTCCCTCTACCCCACACGACTTTACCTCCTCTTGCCTCCCTCTCCTGATAGGCTTCTCCTCTCTACGCTAGAAGAAGGTTAATATCTTTGGTACCTTTTCTTAACAGACTTTATGTATCAAAGTCTCTAACGAGAAAAAAAAGCATCTCCAAGTTGAGTCACAAAACAGTGCTTAAAGTCAGTTCTAGAAATCCTGTAGTCTAGTGAAACTAAGAAACTACAAAAAAGCAAAAAATGAAATGCAGCAAAGCAAACATCTAATGTGAGTTGACAATCACTCAAATTTGTCATGTAAATGTTCAATAATTCCTCTCATTTTTTAATGTCCTCTTCTAATATCTTTTCCTTGAACATTCTAACATAAAAGGATGTGTCTAGGACTTTGCATATAGATGCCCAGTTTACCTGTGGAAACCCTCTTCAATCT